TTTCTTCACTAGGTTAAAGAAAGGTCTGCACTTATCTGAGCTTCTGCTGATGAATCTGTTTAGGGCTGCGGCCCTTCCAGTAAGCATCTGAACCTGTTTTGCCGACATCGGGCTTTTCAGCTCTAGGATGGCCTTGATTTGATTTGGGCTGGCCTCAATGCCCTTTCTTGTTACCAGGTATCCCAAAAACTTACCTGATCCAACTCCAAACGCGCATTTTGATGCGTTGAGTCGGAGCCGGTATGTTTTGAGTATATCAAATACCTCTTTTAGGTCGGCAAGATGACCCTTAGGTTCCTTGGTCTTCACGACCATGTCATCGATGTAGACCTCTACTGTTTGGCCAATCAGGTGTTTGAACATCTTGGTTACCAACCTTTGGTAAGTTGCTCCTGCGTTTTTCAACCCAAAGGGCATTACCTTGTAACAGTACAGGCCTTTTGGGGTAATGAACGCGGTCTTCTCTTCGTCTGGAGGGTACATGGCTATCTGGTGGTACCCCCTGTAGGCATCTAAAAAACTCATTCTTCCATGCCCTGAAGTAGCATCTACTAGCTGGTCAATTTTTGGCAGAGGAAAGCTGTCTTTGGGGCAAGCTTTGTTGAGGCTGGTAAAGTCTACACAGACCCTCCATTGACCGTTCTTCTTCTTCACCACTACTGTGTTGGATAGCCATGTCGGGTAGTGAACTTCTCGGATGGCCCTGGCCTCCAGAAGTCTGTCTACTTCTTCCTCTATTGCTTCGACGTGCATCAACGTCGGTCTTCTAGCTCGTTGAATTATAGGCTTTGCTGACCTGTCGACATTCAGTTTATGGCAAGTGACCTCGGGGTCAATACCAGGCATTTCGTAAGGTGTCCAAGCAAACACCTCTATGTTTGCTCTGAGAAAAGTTTCTAGTTCTCTTTCTTCTTCTTCGGCTAAGCTTGAGTCGACAAGAAAGAAGCGTTCTTCATCATCCTCCAAGACGAGGACTTTCTTCAGTGCTTCTTCACTTTTCTCGGCTGGCTCCTGTAGACACCCCATTTTTGACCGTCCTCAAGACTTGGACGTCATCGTTTGAACACTCGATGATCATCCTTGTTTGTGTTCGTCTTGAGTTCCCGGAGGTCTCGGCTACGCGCCCTGCCTTAGGATCTCTCGACTCGACTGGTTTTGTGTCTGGTTTTGAACCAAACACTTGTTGTTTTGCTTCTTAGGGTGGGAAATAGCTTGTAGGCCATCCCCACACCTCACCGGCCGTAGCTTGAGGCCACCGGCCTTGTTTCCTTGGCACCGGCCATTGGTGATGGCCGGTCGGCACTCTTGATGGTCGGTCGGCATTATGCTTGGTCGGCTGGCCACTGTTTAGCTCAATCGGCCACTTGTCCTGACCGAGACCTTTTCTTGAGGGAGCTTGACCCTTTTGAACCTTTTTTTTAGCTTCTCCAAGAAGCTTGAACCTTTTTTTTAGCTTCTTGAACCTTTTGACCCTTTTGCCTAGCTTCTCCAAGAAGCTTAACCCTTTTTTTTAGCTTCTCCAAGAAGCTTGAACCTCTTGACCCTTTTTGCCTAGCTTCTCCAAGAAGTTTGGCCCTTTTGGTCAAAGCTTCTAAGAGAAGCTTTGCCCCATTGGTTTCTCTATATAAGGAGAGCCTCTCCTCCCCTTTTAAGGGTTAGAAAATCTGATATATATCACATATATATCATTCCCTCTCTATATCTCCCTCTCTCTCTACATTTGGGTGGGTTAGAGGGTCCAAAAGGGCCTTGTTCTTGGCCTATTGCACACCACTTCATAGCCACACACTTCCATCATCACTTGGAGGTTCTTGGAGCTTGTTTTCAGAGGTTGAGGACTGGTTTTTGAGACCTAAAGGCTGTTGGTTCTTGCTGGTCTTCAAAGGTAACTTCTTACCCTCTTTATTCCCCGTTTTTGCACCCCCTTTTAACCTATCTTTCTTTCGGATTTGGGATTTGTGTATAACATAAAAAAGTTCTATTTTTTTGTGTTTAAGATACTTCATTAAGACCACTTTTGTGTTTGGGGTCGTTTACCCCCTCTTAGGCCTTGTTTGGCCCCATTTTATGCTATTTTTGGTGAGTTTCGGGACCACCTTGTTTGGGCCTCCTCACCACTGAAATCTTGAGGGATTTCAGTGGTGAGGATGGTGGTTTAGGGTCCTACGAAGGAGAGGGATCCCCTCTCCTTGTTGTCTTCAAAAAATGCCATTTTAGCCTCATGTGTGAGCACCTTTTTTGAGTTCATGTTGGCCATGTCTTAAGTGTTATTTGTGCTTATTTTGCCATGATATAGCACTGTTTTTAATTGGTTTAGACACACCATGCTTGCTTTGCATACTTGTCTTGTAATGCCATGAAATTGCCTTAACATGTATCTAGCATTTAGACCACTATGCTTACTTGTTTTGGCTTAGCTTTGTGAAGCTTTTATGCATGTTTTAGTGTGTTTAAGGTCTGTCCTAGGTTGTTTGGGTCGGCTTTGGCATGCTTAGTATAGCCCCTTTGCATTCCGGCTTGTTGGCCTTAAATATGTGAATGTATAGCATGCATTACTTGCCTTGATTTAATGGTTTGGCATCATTCATAGCATCATTTCAGTCCCCTTAGCATGCTTGTATGCTTGCCTTGGATTCTTCTTTGATGATTTATGAGCTTGTGTGGTATGCTCCTTGAAAGTGCATTTGTGCATGCCTTTGAATTTAGGTCATTTGGATGCCATCTAAGTGCTCTTTAGGCCTTGTCTTAACATGCAAAAATTCTGATTTTTAGTCATTTAGTTCATGCCATGTGTGGTTGCACTAAGTGTAGTTCAATGCTTCTTTGGTGGGTCTTAGGAATTGGACCATATTTGCATACATGTGTGCGTGTGTTTTGGGCCTCATTTCCTTGGCTTTGGCCACTGTTTTGGGCCTAGCATAGGGCTGTCCAAATTAGTGTAAGACCATCCTCTCATGTTATTGTATGCATGCCTTGCATACCATCACATATTCACTCCATTTCACCTTGTGTTGCATGCCATGTGTAATTGTATTTTGTTGTAGTGCTGGCCCCGGGGTGGTCAACATTGGCTTTCAAGTGAGGAAAACGGGCGTCAGAGAGCGATGAAGAAATAAAGCTGGCTTTTCAGAACAATAGCTGGCCTCCCACCCTCCTACAAGCTTCCTAACAATGAAAATAAGGCCTC